CCTTCTCCTTCTCCTTCTCCTTCTCCTTCTCCTTCTCCTTCTCCTTCTCCTTCTCCTTCTCCTTCTCCTTCTCCTTCTCCTTCTCCTTCTCCTTCTCCTTCTCCTTCTCCTTCTCCTTCTCCTTCTCCTTCTCCTTCTCCTTCTCCTTCTCCTTCTCCTTCTCCTTCTCCTTCTCCTTCTCCTTCTCCTTCTCCTTCTCCTTCTCCTTCTCCTTCTCCTTCTCCTTCTCCTTCTCCTTCTCCTTCTCCTTCTCCTTCTCCTTCTCCTTCTCCTTCTCCTTCTCCTTCTCCTTCTCCTTCTCCTTCTCCTTCTCCTTCTCCTTCTCCTTCTCCTTCTCCTTCTCCTTCTCCTTCTCCTTCTCCTTCTCCTTCTCCTTCTCCTTCTCCTTCTCCTTCTCCTTCTCCTTCTCCTTCTCCTTCTCCTTCTCCTTCTCCTTCTCCTTCTCCTTCTCCTTCTCCTTCTCCTTCTCCTTCTCCTTCTCCTTCTCCTTCTCCTTCTCCTTCTCCTTCTCCTTCTCCTTCTCCTTCTCCTTCTCCTTCTCCTTCTCCTTCTCCTTCTCCTTCTCCTTCTCCTTCTCCTTCTCCTTCTCCTTCTCCTTCTCCTTCTCCTTCTCCTTCTCCTTCTCCTTCTCCTTCTCCTTCTCCTTCTCCTTCTCCTTCTCCTTCTCCTTCTCTTTCTCCTTCTCCTTCTTCTCCTTCTCCTCCCTACTTCCGCCAAAAGCTTCTTCACCCATGTGCTCGACGCCATCTTGGGGCACATGAGGTGTCGGTCTAAACCAAACTTCCTTAAATTCAAATTTCTCTGCGGCACCTCCAGCCTCCTCAGCCAGCCCACCCCAGAAAGATTTTACTCGTTTCTGTCCTTCCATAAGCTGGACGGAAATCGGAGATTGGGGGGTGCATCGCCCTCCCCTAGATTTTCAAGCACAACAAAATCATCACTATCTGAGGAATGCAAAGTCTGCGCGGCCGCCCCATTTTCCACTGCCGGGGTGGCCAGCAAACAATTCTTTGCCGCCCTCCAAGTCTCCTGCTCTTGCATGGCCGTCCACAAGGCCCGTACAACTTTTCCCCACAACTTAAGGTGTTCCCCACAACCCGAGGACATCGCCTCCTCGGCTAACGCTTTAGTACATTTATCCCACACTTCTGGGTGAAGAATATCCACTGGACGGTCAATGACCCAAATTCGTAAAAGCCTGCGAGAGTAAAATCTTTGGGTTTACGATCAAAACCCCACTGCTTATGTAATTGCGATAAGACCTTCACAAGGGCTTCCATCCTCCTTGTTGGTCTGGAAGCGTCCTCCCCGCCGGGCTGGTCCTGCTGCTCCGGCCGCCGTTCACCCGAATCCAAGCGAATTTCCCGGGTTTCGGCACCACTTGTTGCCTCTGGAGGTGTGGCGACCTGGTTCAGGAACGGCACGGCGCCCAATCCCAGGCTGCTCAGGCCATCAGCTCACAAACACCAATGTGGTGGATGGCAAATGGCGTTTATTGATAACTAACACAGCACCATATAGCTTAGGTTTACAACGTCATTTCTGTCCGCTTACGTCATAAACTAAGCGCTATAACGCTATTGGCTATCTGGAGAGGGATCCTACCTTTCCGTACAGCGTGACATCTTCCGACCGCCAAGCCCTAACTAGCTACAACGCCCCAAATGAGAATTCATGTGCTGTGTATGCTGGAGGGCCATGACAAAGCCTGGAGAAGCACCTTCCACTGCCTCGGGCTGCAGCGGGGGTGATGCTCAGCTCTTTGTCCTCACACCGGGAGAGGCAGGTGAGGAGACGGCTTGTGCCAGCCTCAGCGATCTCTGCCTGGAGGGGAAGGGCTGTGACAATCAGCATGGATGGCGTCGAGTTCAAGGCTCACAAGATTGTCCCCTGTAGCTGCAGCCAGTATTTCAGGTCAGTGCTGTTCGCAGGAGGGGATGGGGACAAACGGCGTTTCCTGGCCTGGCTCACAGCGCCTGGGGGTGTCTCCAGCGCCTCCACCAGCACTAAACCCTCACCCAGCCGCTCCCGTGGTCCTGGTCCCTTCCTGGGCACCAGAATTCACCCCGAGCCTGGCAGCTGTGACTTGGTGCCTGTTGAGCCCCGAGGCTTTGCCGGGCTCACCTACCCTCGGGCGGGCGGTTTTCCTTCCCCACAGGCCATGGGGATGCTGCTCTTGCTGAAGTGAGGGGACCCCTCACCCTCTTGCTCTCAGGCTGCAGCTGGAGGCTGTGGTTCCGTTTTACAGCCCCCAGCTCCTCAAACAGGCACTGACCCACTCCCCGGCCTCCCAGCACAGCTCCTGCGGGTGCCCACGCTGGTGCCCGGGGAAGGCGGCCCAGGGGATCATGGGGCTGGGCTTAACCCAGCAAAGCTGTTTTTTTCCCCAGCGTTGCTTTGGTTTTTCAGGGCTTTGTTCAGCAGCGGATGGAACAGCACCGAAAAGACAGTCTATAAAATCCCTGGCACTTCACCCAACATGATGAGGCTCGTCATCACACATGCCTACACTGGGACAGCCCTGCTCATGGCCGACAAAGTGGAGAGTTTGCTCATGGCAGCAGACCAGTTCAGGGTCATGGACATCTTGTCAGGCTGTGCCGCGAGTTCCTCAAATCCCAGCTCTGCTTGGAAAATTACATCGACATTACCACTGTCCCGACCTGCGAGATGCAGCCGACGTGTTCATCCTCCACCACTTTGCGGAGGTGACCAGGTGTCCATGGAGCTGCTCAACCTCTCCGTCCCTGAGCTCAGGCTCCTGGTCGAGCAGGTCGAGTGCAGCGGGACACGAGCCAACGCTATCTGTGAGGCGGCAATCCACGACCTGCCGAGCCACCGGCAGTGCCACGCAGCCTTGCAGCAGCCACAGCGCAGCTCCCCCACACGTGGGTGACACGGCAGCAATCTTAGAAAATGTCCTTCCTCCTGCTTCTCCTCTACTTTGCTGAATTTCACCTCTTTGACCCACACCAGAACATGACATGATAAGTCCGTGTGGTGGTTTCTGTTGTGTGGGGCTTTTCCCCTTCTTTTAAATCAAGTAGAACACACCCCATGAGAGGAAGAATTGCTTGGAGGTTTGGTAGGTTGTTCTTGTGTATTAACCCAATCGTGCCGTGACGAGCAGCACCTTCCACTAACAGGTTACAGCCATTGCTCCAGTGGTGCCCGCAGTAGCAATCGCAGCAATTCTCAGTGCACACAGCCTGTGCTTTCTCCTGAAAAGCCCATGGGGTAACATAGGGAAAACACGATGATAGGGGCTTGAACACTCCTCACTGGCTGAGAATCTGGTTGCATTTTCAAGAGATCGTCTGTATTTCCGAATGTTTACAAACCCAGGAATCTCCAGTGTCACCGTCATTCAAACCCAGTGAGACGCCCCACTGCTGGCCCTTGGAGAAAGCCAGAGCAGGGACCAAAGCCAGCCCCAGTCAGCAGGGGAAGCCCAGGAGATCACAACAGACCCAGATGCTGAATTACAAACAGACCTGACAAACCCATCACTGCCCTGTCACAGAGTCACAGTATGGTTTGGGCTGGAATGGACCTCAAAGCCCATCCAGTCCCACCCCCCTGCCCCATGCAGGGCCACCCACCACCAGCCCAGGTTGCCCAAAGCCCCGTCCAACCTGGCCTTGAACCCTTCCAGGGAGGGGGCAGCCACAGCTTCTCTGGGCAGCCTGTGCCAGGGCCTCACCCCCCTCACAGGGGAGAATTTCTGCCTTAGATCTCGTCTAAATCTCCCCTCTCGGTTTAAAACTGTCACCCCTCATCCTATCCCAACCCCCGATCCAGAGTCCCTCCCCCCTTCCCTGCAGCCCCTTTCAGCCCGGGGGGGCCGCTCTAAGCTCTCCCCAGAGCCTTCTCTTCTCCAGCTGAACCCCCCAACTCTCCCAGCCTGTCCTCACAGGGGTGCTCCAGCCCCCCCAGCATCTCCGTGGCCTCCTCTGGCCCCGCTGGAGCAGGTCCGTGTCCTTCTGCTGTTGGTGCCCCAGAGCTGGACCCAGCCTTGCAGGGGGGTCTCCCAGAGCGGAGCAGAGAGGAGAATCCCCCCCCTCGCCCTGTGCCCCCCCTGCTCTGGGTGCAGCCCAGCACACAGGTGTCTTTCTGGGCTGCAAGTGCACGTTACTGTCTCATAGTCACTGTCCATGACAAGCTCAGTTTCCTACATGAAACATGCCTTTAAGTCATTAATCTTTGTATAGTCATTTCCCCATCTACAGAGGGTCATAACAAACCTTATTGTCCTTTATAAAGTGCTTTGACCTCTATGGATGAGAAGGACCATATGAAAAAAAAATCACATTTTTATCACTATTGTTACTATTAACCTAACATAAGCAAGACGATTTGTCAAATGATGGGTTTAATGACACATACCTACCAAAAGAAAGTAGTGATGCTGGCAGAAAAGCCCCATGTACTGCTTGCTACAGTTGGTCACACTGACAAAAACAAGGCTTGTTGAATACAGAAATGTTCCTGATAAATTTTGGAACTTCCCCACAGAGCAAAAGCTTTGTATAATCCCTTAACTAGGAGCAGAAGATCAACCCGGGATGGACACTACCCAATTTAAAAGCTGATAAAATTCAGACGTTGCCCATCACGAGCATGAAAACACGTCTCACACGTTTTCCCTGCAGGAGCTCCATGAGCACAGATGGCACCAACGACCTCTTCCACTGCTTTCTGCACATGGAGAAAGAAACACCCAGATTGGGATAAATCCCATCAGCAGCCCGGCTGTTAGGAAAAGCCAGGCGGCCAAACTTGGTTTCGAGAGAAGCAACGGGCTGAGGCAGTCAGAGGGTGAGTGTGGACGTTAAAACTGCTGCTATGAACCACTCCAGTATGAGATCGAGTCAACGTACAGCCTGGGACTGGTTTAATCACACTGTGCTTGTGCCATATCGAAGAAAGTAGGTGAGAAGATGTAAAACCAAAGGAGGAGGTGTTGCTTTCACAGTTAAGCTGCTGAATTTGGGAAGATACATGCACCTTTGGTCCCCTTAATATGTGAGCAGAGCAAATTTTTACACTTACTGAATCAAACTGTACACACTACACCGCTTTATCCCTCGAGCTCAGTTTCTGACCAAGTCATATTCACCACCAAGTGCAGCCCAGTTTTTCATTCCCATTTGCAGTGGGATATAGCAAATATGAATTCGGGCCACACTTGGTTGCCCTTTTCATGTTTAAAACCTCACTGAAATGCACAGCACGACTGCAAAGGTTTTGTACTTTTCATAATGTGTATTTTGTTGAAAAAAAAAAATCAGAATCAGAGGTAGACAATATTTGGGAAAAAAGATGGAGTACATGAGCAACACTGTAGAAAAAAATCCAGGAGAGCTGTAAAAGTCAAAAAAGACATCTCTGGTAAGAAGAGTTGATTAATCCACATAACAACAAAAATCATGAATGTTAAAGAATTTTCTGCTTTCATAAACTTTAGATCACACTATGTTAAAATCCCTATTTCTCACTCCTGTAACAAGCAAAGCGTAATTAATTCATCCTTCCAAAGTTGCAAACATCCCTAATACAGAGATCATTACTGTAACTCTGGGAGTGAGGGAGCAAAACAGAGAAGCGACGTTAACCCCAGTCTCCAAATCCCACGGTAAATCAGGGATAAACCTCCCCGCAGGGTGCTAAGACAACAGTTTCAGGTGAATCTCTCAAACACGCCCACCCCTACCAGGCTCATGCAGAAGGAGGGGCCACCCAGACAAACGAGGAGCTGCCATCCGACAATGTCACCGGCCCTGCCACTTGCAATCCAAAGAGAGACAAAATGGCACTTAACTGCTGACCTAAGCCTGCAGAGAGGAGAACGGAGGTTGGATGAGGCAGAGCTTGGACTGCAGCTGCTCTTGCTGCAAGGCTGGGGTGGCTCCGGCTTTACCTTCACCTGCCCCTTCAGCAGCTGGGGGCAGAATGAGCTGGGGACAGCCGCCCCCCAAGGGCCTTCCCACCCTCAGAGCCAAACCCCTGCCCCAGGCCTAAGGGTCTCGGTGGCCCTACAGCGGACACCTCCTGTTGCCCCTGCGCAGCAGCCGGGAGGACGCGAGGCCCTCTGCTGCCCTCTGCCCCTCTCTGCTCCTGTGCCTGTAGGGACAGTGCCGCTCGCAGCAGCCGAGTGCTGTGAGGGTGATGGAGACTCCCCGGGCCTGCTGGGACGCTGTGACCACTGGCCCGTTGAGGGGACCCCAGGCGTGGGCTGAGAAGGGGGCTGGAGCCCCGGGCACAGCAGGCGAGCTGGAGGCCGTCCCGGTGCCCAAGGGGGAGCCCTGCTCTCTGGCAAGGAAATGGTGCCGGGAACGGGGCCACCGGGGCCTCAGGGGCCACCGGGGCCTCAGGGCCAATCCCAGCAGCGTCCGTTGGTGAGGTCAGCAGCGCCCGTTACACAACCCCTGCGGCTGGCCCACGGCTCGGTGGGACGCTGAGACTGTGGCGGCGAGTGGGAGCAGTGGAGGAGCCTACAGACACTGCAGCGACGGACAAGAGGATTTCTGAAGCGCTGAGGATGCCTCCCCAGCCCCGAAAACGCAAGAGGGCTGCGGGGAGCAGCAGCAGCTGTGGCAGGTCAGTCGAGCCCATGGAGGTTGACCTGCCACAGCGGGGCCAAGAGCCCATGGAGGTGGATCCTCCTCAGGATGGAGCAGAGCCCATGGCGGTCCCCAGCTGGGTCCGGCGCAAGTGCTCATTCAGGGGCTCTGTCTCTTATACA